CACACACACACACACCCCTACCTGATGTGGTCAAGGTCATAATGGAACCAGCAAGTCATGTCACCTGATTGAGGTGACCAGAATATTGTTTACATTCTTTTCAGTTCATCTATTTACGTTATTTGCTCTCAAATTCAGTATTTTCCAGATTCAGGTTCCTTAATTTGTATTTTTTTTTCCAATTCCCTATTCACAGACTCCTACACCATCTGACTCTTAGCTCAGCCTTTTTTGACGTACACTAACTGCCTTAACACATTACAATTTCACCTAAAGGTTTAGTCATACAAATGCTCATGATGGGGTATCTGTATGCCATCAGATGGGCCCTTTCAAGCAGTCCACCAGTACTCCTACCAGAATCTACACTTTCTCATTTCTGTAACATTTTGACATAATAGCCAATCATACTACTTATTTTTATGTCTCACTTTATATCCCTTTCACTAATACTATTTACTTTGTTTTAAAGTCAGTTTCTCTATGGACTTTGTCGGTGTTTTATTGTCTAGGTTTTCGTGCTGTTCCAAGCCACGTTAATCCTTTTGTCAAGTAGGTGTTCATGTCTGAGACCTGTTCTTCAGTGCATTTTTTTTTTTACCATCTCATGTATGTAACATTCACTTTTGCGCATTTACATTGGTGTCCCAAGACCATGTCACGCATTCTTGACTCCCACATGATCTTAGCAAATGATCTATGAGATTTTATTCGTCTCTCCACATATGGTCCCAATGCCCCAGCTTCGTGGCTTGATCACCAATTCAATTTTTCTTTTTTTTTTTTGAAAAAACAGACAAGGATACAAACATCACCAAGAGAAAGTTATCAGTTTGGTACTCATCTAAACTTGCTTTCCACTAAAATGCATTTTAGCCTTAATAGCGATCTCAACCATTATTCTATTTTTTTTTTCTTCCTCTTCTGCCACCAGTATCCACCTTTTAATTACTTCATTTCATCTAATTTTGCAACTTAACTATTACCACCGTATCTGATTTGAGATTTGTAGTCCATGGACCATAATCTTGTAATATTTTAAAACTGAAGTCAAACATTTCTGTTTGATTCAGTCCCAACACACTTTGTTCTTTTACTAAGATCGCCCACTATTTTAAAGTTACTTGGTAACTCATCTAGAGATTTGAAATATCTCTATGTAAATTTGTCCACATTCAATATACTGTTTACTCCCTTGAAGTTACTAACCATTTTTTTTTAATGTATTCAACCATTTTTTCTTCATTATTTATTTTTATTCATGGGATGAAGGAGTCGCTGGCTAGGCAGCATTTATTGCCCATCCCTAATTGTCCAGTTAAGAGTCAACCACATTGCTGTGAGTCTGGAGTCACGTGTAGGCCAGACCAGGTAAGGATGGTAGTTTCCGTCCCTAAAGGACGTTAGTGAACCAGATGGATTTTTCCCTCTGGCAATCGGCAATGGATTCATGGTCATCATTAGATTCTTAATTCCAGATATTTATTGAACTCAAATTCCACCATCAGCCATGGCGGGATTGGAATCCGGGTCGCCAGAACATTATCTGGATCTCTAGATTAACAGTCCAGCGATAATACCACTAGGCTGTCACCTCCCCTAACCACACTTGTGACTGTATGTACGTGTATGCACTTTATCATTTTCCAGAATCCCTTTAAATTTTCAGGTAACTATTCCATTTAAATGTTTTAGAATACCAGGGCATGTAAGGCTTAATATAGTTTTTGTCATGATATGCTTAAGTGTACACAGGCTCATTGGTTTCAAGATTCTTGACATTTGCTACGATTGATATTTCCACAATACTTCCCCAACACTGAAATGTGTTATTGATGAATTGCTTGATGGGTTGAGGGTACATCACTGTGTTGCAACTTTGAAATTCTGCAAATGGGTTCAGGCTTCAGTGTCTCCAATTTCTTAAAGCAAACAAGCTGCATCCGTTCCATGCCAAGCAGCATGGGTTAATTAGCACGGATTCTACTATGGGTTCAACAGGGAGTGGGACGTAAACTCCTGCACGTAATTATGTCATCCGTCTCTCCTCCTCCTTGGAGGAAGGAAAAGACCAGCCCTTTGTTAAATTTGCCTTTCCTAAATTCCTTGCAGGAATTTGCATTTTCAACATTCCAATATCCCAATCACTTGGATATTAACAATGAGTCAATCTTATAATCCAGAATTAAAGTTTCACTCGTGTCAAAACAATATTTGGAGTTCATTTTGGCCAGTAAATGAAATTCCAAACATGGTAATTTCCGGAATTAAAATTTACCCAGTCCAAACACAACACAGAGCCAATTCCAAAAGGTAAGTGTCTACCAAGCTTTGCGAATCAATGTTTTGCAAATTTTGGTTTTACACTACCACTCGTGGTTTCTTAAAAGGTCATTACATTAGCCATACTCACTCCGAGATAGAAGGAACTGCTGAAACTGGAGTCTGAGATAACAAGGTGTAGAGCTGGATGAGCACAGCAGGCCAGGCAGCATCAGAGGGGCAGGAAAGTTGACGTTTCTGGTCTGGACCCTTCTTCAGATATGGTGGAGGGGAAGGGGGCTCTGAAATAAATAGAGAGAAGGGAAGGTGATGATAGAAGATGGATAGAGGAGCAGATAGGTGGAGAGAAGACGGACAGGTCAAGGAGGCGGGCATGACGCCAGTACAGGTGAATGTAGGTAGGGAGTTGAGATGTCGGTTGGTCAGTGAGGAGGGAGGGATGGGTAGGTGGGAGGGAAGATAGACAGGTCAAGGAGGCGGGGATGAGGCTAGTAGGTAGGAAGTGGGGTTGGTCAGTGAGGTGGGAGGAGCGGATAGGTAGGAGAAAAGACAGACAAGTCAAGGAGGCGGGGATGAGATTGGCTGGTCTTGGGATGAGGTCGGGGGTGGGGATAATTTGAAGCTTGTAAAGTCCATATTGAGACCATTGGATTGTAGGGTTCCCAGGCAGAATATGAGGTGCTGTTCCTCCAGTTCTCAGGTGGCATCGTTGTGGCACTGGAGGAGGCCCAGGATGGACATGTCGTCCAAGGACTGGGAGGGGGGAGTTGAAGTGGTTCACGACTGGGAGGTGTTGTTGTTTGTCACGAACCGAGCGTAGGTGCTCCACTCCTTGGACAACATGTCCATCCTGGGCCTCCTCCATTGCCACAACGATGCCACCCGAAGGTGCTGTTCCTCCAGCCTCCTATTCCACCTGGGAACCCTGCAGCCCAATGGTCTCAGTGTGGACTTTACAAGCTTCAAAATCTCCCCACCCCCGACCTCATCCCAAGACCAGCCCATCTCGTCCCCGACTCCTTGACCTGTCCGTCTTTTCTCCCACCTCACTGACCAAACCCCACCCCCACCCCCACTTCCTACCTACTAGCCTCATCCCTGCCTCCTTAACCTGTCTGTCTTCCCTCCCACCTACCCATCCCTCCCTCCTCACTGACCAACCGACATCCCAACTCCCTACCTACACTCACCTGTACTGGCTTCATCCCTGCCTCCTTGACCTGTCTGTCTTCTCTCCACCTATCTGCTCCTCTATCCACCTTCTATCATCACCTCCCCCTCTCTCTGTTTATTTCAGAGCCTCCTTCCCCTCCCCCATTTCTGAAGAATGAAGAAGCGTCCAGACCTGAAACATCAGCTTTCCTGCTCCTCTGATGCTGCCTGGCCTGCTGTGTTCATGCAGCTCTACACCTTGTTATCTCTACATTAACTATAGTTGCTTCACACAGAAACAGGCACGCAATACACTTTCAAATCAGCAGACATTCCCAAAATGCTAACTCCACTTCGAAGTCTCCCCAGATCTCGAGCTCCGGGGAACAAAAAGACACTAATTATATGAGATGACATTTAGCAACCAACAAATAAAAGTGCACTCAAACCAGAACACAGTTAACGTTTCTACAAAATTCACAGCGCAGAAAATCTGGCCTCCAGTTCTCCTTTTTCCCAGTTATTCGGGGGTCCTGAAAGTGAGCTGCATTGGTGCCAGATTGAATCGCTTCTAATAATACAGTTCATGCATCTTCTGTATTCGCAACAGGTTTGGTGGTGAACTTCTCAGTTTTTGGAAAACCTGAAGGAGGAGGAGGAGCGCAAGATGCAGTGGCTGGTTGTCCTGTTTGAGAATAGTCCCCTTTTATTCTGTAGCACTTTTGATACTGCCCAAGTTGCCTATTTTGGTTTTGTAATTCCACTGTGTGCTCCAATTGATGCCAAAGGTGCAGAGAGTTCATTCTCTGGTGCAACAAATGAATCTTTTTTTAAGGTTATCATTTATCACTATCCGAAATCTTCCTAAGTCTTTCTTTGCTTTGCTCTGATTGGATTGCTTCCTTTAGAGAACTATGTAAGCACTCACCTTTCTGTACAGGCTTCTGAACGATGGGTTTGAATTTCTTGACAGGCCCAAACCTGTTGGTATTAGGTTTAATGTTGAAGCAATCTGTGTGAAAGGAAGGTAAAGGTTCTGACTGCATCACAAATACTGTTTTGGTAACTGGAGAGGATACAGTAGATATTGTAGGCAGGTTTGAGGCACATTAACTATGTGAGATGGAATCACTTTGTTTCATGGCAGTAACGTGACTTTTAAAAGAATCTGAAAGTTAAGTTCTATTTGGATTGATTGCAAAGGTCACGGATGCATTAACTGATGGAGCACTGGAAATCATGACATCTTTCACAAAAGGTGGATGCATTTTACCTTGTGGAATCTGCCTATTTGCAGTGGGACATTGCTTGTTAGTAGGAAAGGCACATACATCTTTAATGAATGAATTAATTCTGGTTTGGAACAACCTTAGTTCCTTAGTATTACCTTTTTTTTAACGTTTTCTGTGTTGGAGTGGGCTGTCTTCTGTTGGTTTTCCTTTCCTCCCTCCACATCTGCTTTGATCTCTCTTACTTCCCTACCCTTTGGAGAACAGTGCGTTCTGCAGATATTGTACATGGCATAGGTAGGTATTCCATCTATAGTACTCTTATTCCTGCTTTTAATAATGCTGCAAACATTTCCTTTCTGGTTATCTTTTGTTTCACCTTTGAACCTACTCCATCTCCATCTTGTCCCTGTTTGCCACTTGCGCGGGTAGGCCTCACTCTTCACTTACCAGGCTCCACGTTCTCTAACTGTCCTAACAACAAACATACTTGTCCCACTGCCTGTCCCTGGGCTGGCCCTAATATGGTTAACAAGGCACCTCTCATCCAGCGCGGACCACTTTGCATTAGACGGTTCCTCATTCCAGCTGTGACAGTTTCCTGGTCTGGAACCTGAAACTGTGGAGAATACATTACTGGCTTGGTAGCCAAATCCCTCAAACATTTTATACGTTCTGGTATGCTCTCCCATTTTTCAACATAACCTTCCCAATCTATCAGAGAAGGATACTTGTTTCCTACTGCTAGTGTCAGTGCATTCCACAATGATCCAGTTTGCCCTATGTTTCCAAAAACACTATTTGCATGTGGATCAACACTTAGTGCTCCCAGATTCCTTCGCTCTGTGACAGTCGGCATAATATGGGCAGCACCCTGGTCCCACGACTGCATCAGCCAAGAGGCCAAGGATTTGCCCAACTTTTGTTTAAAGCGTGATCCCAAATCCTGCAATTTGGACATCGGGTAATCTCTCACTCTTCTCAAATTTTGTGGGTTTTATCCTCCAACCTGTTTTTGCCTTATTTATTAGGGGTTGTGCTATTAGCCTCTCCTCCTGAGGATCGCTCAGAGGTGGGGCTAATAGCATTCCCTTCCCCGTCCATCCATTCAGACTCTGAATCAGATGAATACCAAATGTCCCCATCCCAATGGTCAGAGTCCCATTGCAAAGTTAATAACGCATGCATTTTGACTGGGTCAACTTTCTAATTTGTGCCGTTTTGCTCTCTTTTTCTGTTGTGCCATCTGCATACTATCTGGTTCTGTTTCACCTCTACCTTCTCAGCTGTCTCCTGCACTGTCTTAACTGTTTCTGTTAGGACAACGTTACGCTGTTCTACTGCTATCAATGTGGCCTCAAACTGCCTGTTTCTGGCCTGGCACTTTTTTTCAATTCCCTACACGTAGAACACAAAGCTGTTAATAATATCCACCCCATTTGTGGTACACTGTCCTTGTTTCTGCACTTGTGTACAGCAACCTGCATGTCTAACCCTCCTTTCTCTCTTTCTTATTCTGGTTATGAACGCCACCACCCCAATTCTTGCGGGGGCCCTAATTATGCTAACAAATTAGCTACAGACCTGAATCTAGAGTCTGCTACATTCCATCCTAGAATACGGAAGGTCTCCAGAGCATCCAGTTGCCTTTCCCTTCTCAAGTATTTTCCTGAATGCCATTCCTCATCAATAAAAAGTATCTTGGATCACAGCATATATCCAAGTGATTATTTTCAGATTTGGGTAAATATAATTAAGAGAAGGCACAACAACAGCAATTTACTTAAATATGAATGTCTAATAAGTAATTATAAATGATTATAATGGTAATAAATGATTATGGTGGTAATAATAAATGGAAGAGAAAAAGAGAAAACCAGTCTCACATCCCTCTGCCCTTCTGGGGCTCCTTGATCGATGGCTGGTCTGGAGGCTCAGGTTCATTCGTGGCACCTTTCACAATCCCGGTCTCGGGTGAAGTCCAGCAGCTTTGGAACAAAATGCTCTTGCACTCTCCACAAACAACCAGTACAGAAAACAACAGATACAATAGACTAACCTGCTGGCTCATACAGAAAACAAGTATTTTTTTTAATTGTGCTGTCTGCGGCACGCATGGGAATGTTCACAGGGCTCATCCAAGATCATGCAGCTTGTCAAGCATCATCAACAATTTTAACCCTACAGCCCATTCTGTACAATCTATCTTCTGATTCAGCTGTCGAATATCATCATTAACTTTTAGTCCTTTGGCCCATCCTATACAAGCCCTTACTTTGAAAACCTAGAGATAATAACTTTATCTTGGTTCCAATAGAAAGTACCTGTTAGCAAATACTGATTTATCTGCCTATATCATGCATAGTTATGAACAAGACATATTTTCAAGAGTGTGTTGGATAACAGAAGGCTTTTGTGGACAAGTCTGATTGTGTATCCATTTATTTCTCTTACAATCCTTGATGTTTGTCAGAGTGGAGATTTTGATGCATTCATCAAGTGAAACAATCTAAACACAAGTTGTAACTCCTTGCATATCAATTGAGGTACAAGAATGAAATTTTATTACTTTACATCAATTGCATTTAAAAATGAAAATATTATTCTAAATCATCCAATTCAATGACCTAAAACAAACAATCTGATAAACATTACATTCAACGCATTTTTGTTTATCAATTCTTTATATCCTGTATTTTTTACAAGTAGTATGAGTATCAAGGGGACCGCTTACTATCGGTATTGCTACTGAGGAAATGTTAGACTTTAAGCTGGTGGATTGACTATGCTAACCAAAATTCACGGTTTCATTGTTCCACTGTTGCCTTCAGCTACCTAGGCCCCAAACTCTAGAATTCTTACCATAAACTTCTCTGCATCTTTGTTTCTTTCCTTTGTTTGATGCAAGATATTCCTTAAAACCTACCTCTTCAGCCAAGTTTTTGATCACTTGTTCTGGTATCTTCTAATGTGGTTCAGTGACAATTCCTGAGCATTGTAGACTGTCTCAACACAATGTTAAAGGTGCTATAACATTTGCATTTATATATTTTACAAATAGACCTTTTTCATTTTTGCTTTCTTGGAATATTAAAATGTTACCCTTGTTTTTGCTTAATGCAGGCTGCATCTATCCCAGATTACAGAGGCCCCAATGGGGTGTGGACATTATTGCAGAGTGGTAGGGAAGTGAGGTAAGAAAAATCTTTGAGCTAGTACACCAAATGAAATAGCTGTTATTTTTGGACTAAAAATATCGGACATTTTTTTTAAATGGTTAGAAGACATAACTATAATAACTGGGGAAATGAATGCTGTAGAGAGCTCCACAATTTTAGAGCTTGCCATAAATGCAATTTAAATAATCAAAAAGCAAAACAGTGCCTTATTTATGGTGGCAAGTAGAAATTAACTTAAACAAAGGAAATGTTCAGACTATTCGAAGTAAAACCATACCCAGTCTTTGATTTATTCCAATCTTTGCAAAGTTTCAGTCTGACACAATTGATGTTGGCAGTGGTATAGTTGAGTTTGCAGTAATTTATCATAACTGCTGCCAGCCCTCCTGCCAAGATCTATTATACTTTTAAAATAATAACGTTCTTTCACTGCCTATGTGAGTTTAAACCAAAAATAAAGTATTAACATAGGCCCCCAATTAAGCCACTTGCTGCATGACTATGCAGCAATTGAAGTTGGCAAACGGCAGTGTCTTTTTCCCACTCTCTCCGGTGGAAAGCTGGAAAATTAAGAGATGATTTCATTGAACAAGGTCAGTCTGAGGGCTTATAGCCACATTGTAAAATATTCCTTCATGTGATTCAGTTCATAAGAATTTTTGGTGGTTGTAAAATAAAGCACTTGTATAATACATACTGGTGTTTGTGCATTGTAATGAATTAACATATTGCCTGATCAGCAGTAATTAGAGGTTATTTGCCAGTGTTATTTACCCATAGGTGATACTGAATGTTTCAAGTTTCCAGCCAGTCGTCTAATCCATACACTTACATTTTGAAGGGGCAAGAGTATAGTACTGTATCTTGTGTTTTTGTTGATTTCAAATTTATAGATGATATGACATTAGGAACTATGGCAAACCACGAGGATTGCCTAGCACACAAAAGGATGTAGATAGATTAGTGAAATAGGTAAGCAAGTGGCTTTAAGTTTTAATGTAGAAAAGGGTGAAGTGATTCATTTTGGAGGGAAGAATATAAAGAGATAATATGAAAGAGTACTGTTCTGATGGAGTTGCAGGAGCAGAGAGATCTGAACGTGTATAATCATTAGTCATCGAAGGTGACAGGACTGGTCTTGGTTAATAGAGCATACTGAATCCTTGACTTAGAGAAATAAATTGCAAAAGCAAGGATGTTGTGCTAAACCTGTATGAAATACTATTTCAGCCTCAAGTAGAGTATTGTGTTCAATGCTGGGCATTGCACTTAAGGAAAGATGTTGAAGGATTTAAAGCGTCCAGAAAAGTTTTGCAAGAAAAGTTTTTTTTTCATTAATTGGAGAAGTTGGGGTGGGGTGTGATGGTGGGGAGGAACGGTTGAAAGGAGTTTCGATAGAACTATTCAAAATTTATAAGGGATCTGGCCATAGTAGATGGGGAAACCAATTCCCATTGGAGGAATGATTGCGAACCACAGGACACTGTTAGAAGCAATGGTGATATGAGTTAAAATATTTTGCACACGGCAGATGATTAGGATATGGAATGGCCCTTAGAATGTGGTGGAGGCAGGACCAGTTAAGTTTTCTGAAGGGAAGAAGGTTATTATCTGAAGAGGAAGAAAACCAAAATGCAGGGTGGTGGGGAAAAGGCAGAGGGATGACATTAGGTGATTGCTCTCTCTCTGAAGGAGCATAGACACAACAGGCTGAATGTGTAACTGCCTTATTTATTTTGCTGAAGTATGTGTTATCTTTTCTGATAAAGCACAGCAGATCTCAGTGAGGCAGAGCCCACCCTGACTCATATGTGCATCGCGCAACTTTATAAAGAAAAACTGGTAAGAACTACGTATAGTTTTGTTTTCTTTTATTGTATTATGATGACTCGTCCTCACTTCATACGTAGTTGGGGAAAATAAAAACAAATTGCTGACAAAACTCAGCAGGCCTGGCAGCATCTGTGG